TTATTTTTATAAACTTCTTTTATTTTATGGACTAAGTATTTTTACAAAGAAAACAACAAATTAAGTTGTTTTACAAGTGCCTTCATGAGATCAACTTTCTAGCTTCGTTAGAGTAGTACATCTTTTTCTTTGGACTCACTTTTAGAGGGTCAGGAGTTCTTCCGAAAACTCCAAACATTCACTTTACAGCAAGATGCATTGTGATAACATTATACTTAAATAAATTCTCTTCCAACTCACCCCCCCCCCCCCCCCCCCCATCCCACTCTAAACAATTTTTTTCTCTTCGAGTTCCCTCCCCGTGTCAAGCGCGCTTCCAGTTGCTTTTAGCAGTATGAGTTATCGTACTTTATTTTACCAGCCGGCTTTACAAAAGGCAACTCTCAACGCTGTATTTATTTGCCAGATTTTTTTTCTCTCCGGCGGTGTTGTTTGTTACAGGAATCAAGGAATGATAACTCAGCTAATGTTTTATCTTGCTCGTTCATCAAATCGAGTTCACCCCCTTTTATTTACTCTACAATATAAAGACTTACTTATCGTTGAATCGGTTGCATGCATCGGCGTAGGCAGAAAAAGAGGAGGGGGGGGAGGGGCAGGAGGTTGGCCTATATATTGTATATATATATATATATATATATATATATATATATATATATATATATATATATATATATATATATATATATATATATATATATATATATATATTTATATATATATGTGTGTGTGTGTGTAAGTGTGTGTGTGTGTATAAGTATAGGTGCATCATAAGTATAAGTAAAGGTGCAGTTTAAGCCTTATATATATATATATATATATATATATATATATATATATATATATATATATATATATATATATATATATATACCTCCCATAATGATGTTAGCAACGTAATTTTTTTGTTTATATGACATTCAGTTGTCCGTTTTATTTTAGTTTCACCGTAATACAGCATTCATTTAGGAATTCCCCTCCCCCTTCCTATATTCCACATTCCCTGCGGCTGCTTCAAAAGTGGCAAGCACCGGAATAGTTGTTTTTTTTTTTAGACTTTGGGTCGGATGGGTGCTGTTGATATAATTAATAAAGAAAAACGTCGTTGATAATAGTGTATAAAAACGAACAACTGAAAACAAAACACTGCTGTTTAGAGAAGATTAAATAAAAATAGCATCAAGAGGCACTTGGCTGTGGGGAGGTTCTGATTTATGGACGTTAATGAAGCTGGGGTAGGAAATTGTCTTTGACGATAATGGGTGCTAGACTGTTGAGAGGGCAGGCTGTTAGTTAGATGGGTTATGGGAAGTTGGTGTGGCGAGCGGCAGTGTCAGAGTTGGCTGTATGGGTTCAATGTGTGGGGTGTGTGGGGTGGGTTAAAGGTGTGGGTTAAATTGTGTGGGATGTAGGGTTAAAAGTCTGCAGTTTGAGAATGTGTTAGTTGTGTGGGATAAATGTGTGGTTTAAATGTGTGGTTTAAGTGTGTGGGTTAAATGTGTGGGTTCAATGTGTGGGTTAAATGTGTGGGTTAAATGTGTGGGTGCAATGTGTGGGTTATATGTGAGGGTTCAATGTGTGGAATATGTAGAGTGTGTGGGTTAAATGTGTGGGTTAAATATATGGGCTAAATGTGTTGGATATATAGAGTTTGTGGGTTAACTGTGTGGGGTGTGAGTGGATGGGTTAACCGTGTGGGGTACAACTGTGTGGGGTAAAATATGTAAGATATGACAGCACCTGAATCATAAAGTGCAAGCATCATACAGTGCCAGCCGTCCCGCTTAATTCAATGACAGCCGGTGTGACCTGCATGAGCTTGTCAAGAACTGTGACTGTAACAGGACCGACGATAGCATCAAACGATGCCGCAACAGCCGTATCATGCACTCTCTCGGCCACCTAGCAGAGATAGACCACCCTCTCCCCCCTAACGAATCAGAATTTACTTAGAAAATAAATACATAAATACTTTTACCAGTGTCCGTCTTCTCCCCCCCCCCCCACCCCTCATAATTTACCCCCCCCCCCCCCCCGGACATAGACACACACCATACAAACACCATCAAAAACACCATCCAAAACACCATCCAAACCACCATCCAAACCACCAGCATCCCGTCTCCTATCATTTCACAAACTATTCCACAGCCTTTTGATGCTTGTTTACAACCTCTGCACCGCCTCGAACATCTTAGTGCACAATGTTGATGCGATTAAAATAAATGATGAAGACAAGCACGCAATCCTAAGTTGTGGTTGTTTTTATCACTTTTTATTTTGTTTATTTATTTATTTTATTTGTTTCTATTCTCACGGCCTATGAATGGATAATATTATCAGGACTTAACTCATTAGCTTTTATTTTCCCTAACAAAGGCAGGTACCCTAAAGCGCTGAGTAGACACAGGGACGCTCTACCAGAAGCGGATCAGCGATCCAAACTCGAGACTTTCATAGAGAATTCCGCTTCTTCTCCCTCCCACCCTACACACACACACACACACACACACACACACACACACACACATTTATATGTAATTATCCACGTTGGCAAAAAAAACGGATTTTATTTTGGTGTTACACAATATAAACATAAAAAAACGGACTGGAATTTTCGCATTTTTCCTACTTATCGAATCTTTACATGTTTATCATTTGTATATATATATATATATATATATATATATATATATATATATATATATATATATATATATATATATATATATATATATATATATATATATATATATATGTATATATATATATATATATATATATATATATATATATATATATATATATATATATATATATATATATGTTAACCACTTGCCTATTCAGTAAACTGAAATCCCCGAACTATATATCTACGTCAATTATAGAACTTACATGAATAGCATACTCTATAACTTTCTGGATCCTAAGTTAAAAAACGTTTGTATAAATATTATCGTCGTGCTTTAAAAAATGTCTTAGTGTGATCTTTTTATTCCCCAAATCCCTCATTAGCAGTAACAGCCTCAGTACCTACAATCAGCAAACACCAATTTATTTATATTTTTCATTTTCCTCAACATTCACCCCGTTCGTTAAACCAAGTTATTTTAAATTCTATTTTTGTACTCGGAATTTTTTAAGTTCATTTTTTTTTCATCTTCCGCGAGACTAAATCACAAAGTAATTAGTTTTTCTTCGTCGGTCACGTAAATAGTTCCCCAATCTAAATCTGTGTTTGTTTTTTTAACAAACCTGAGCGCCACTTCCTGTGTGTCACGTGGTCACACAGGAGCTGCAGAAGATAAGCCTGGAGACTGACGCCAACACAGTTATGCCGCTTTGCAAATTTGATGCAAGCCGGTGAATGCGGGCATGGATTCTAGACAGCAAGAACTGCAGCACTTCAAATTTATTTACAGACATGAAATCTTGTGTGGTGAGGAGGGGGTGGGGGGGGGGGGATTGCCTTGACAGTGGCGCCGACTTTGGATAAAATTTGTAACCGGATGCTATCTGTGCAGCCGTACACGTACGTTAATAAACAAGGAGATGGTCTCACAACAAACGTAGTTAACAGATTGTGTACACTGTTATTGTATCTGACTGCTCCCATAGCCGGACCTTTAAAACTATCCATTTCAGTGTTTTTGTTATTTAGAAATAGATGTGATTACAACAATTTGTTCTGTACCGAAATTTTAAACGTATGGCTAGACCTATAGACTTTATAGGGGGGGGGGGGGGGGGGACAACCTCTGTGGGGGACAGGAGCAAACTGGTTTTTAGACTCTTCAGCGATGTGACACACAGCAAGACAGCAGTTTCTTTCAGGCATTTTTTCTCTGGCCTCCTCCCAGGCGAAATAGAAAAATATGTAATGTATACAAAAAATATAAACTTTAACCGGTGTCTTCGTCCTCCCCCCAACCAGATAGTTTCAAGAGAAAACATCCCCCCCCCCCCCCAATTTACCGAAGGAAAAAAAAACTGAATGAAACAGTGCAAGACAGTTGGGTCAAGAGTGACGCATCATTATATAACTTTGGGTTTATTTAGATGATATATTCCTGGTGGATTGATGGGAAAATACTGGTCATTTCTTGCCAACTTCGACCCCAAATATGACTTGTTCGTGTATATTCGACCCAAAATATGACTTGCTAGTGTATATTCGGCCCCAAATATGACTTGCTAGTGTATATTCGGCCCCAAATATGATTTGCTAGTGTATATTCGGCCCCAAATATGACTTGCTAGTGTACATTAGGCCCCAAATATGACTTGCTAGTGTATATTCGGCCCCAAATATGACTTGCTAGTGTATATTCGGCCCCAAATATGACTTTCTAGTGTATATTAGGCCCCAAATATGCCTTGCTAGTGTATATTCGGTCCCAAATATGACTTGCTAGTGTATATTCAGCCCCAAATATGACTTGCTAGTGTATATTCGGCCCCAAATATGATTTGCTAGTGTATATTCGGCCCCAAATATGACTTGCTAGTGTACATTAGGCCCCAAATATGACTTGCTAGTGTATATTCGGCCCCAAATATGACTTGCTAGTGTATATTCGGCCCCAAATATGACTTGCTAGTGTATATTCGGCCCCAAATATGACTTGCTAGTGTATATTCGGCCCCAAATATGACTTGCTAGTGTAAATTCGGCCCCAAATATGACTTGTTCGTGTAACTGTTCCTGGTGACTTGATATAAAAGTCCTGGTCTTTATTCATCAAGCTGGACCCCAAACATGACTTATTACCAGTCAACTATTAATAAACCACACGAGAAGACGCAACCTTTGACCTCCCACTTCCACACCAATGCTATTACAACATGAATGACATCATCTGACAGTATTTTAAAGCTCAGTAGAACCTAGACAGAAAACAACAGAAACACCAACAGGCATAAATAACAAAAAGAGAAAAAAATCCTTGTAAAATGTTTTAAAATCTTTGGATAATCTCAATCGAAAAAAAGTCATCAACGAGTATTAAAAAATTAATGAACAAGTAAAAATATCAGAAGCTTGGACAGCAATATAAACATGGATGGAAAAGTAACAAGATATGTTTGATTATCAGCAGTAAAAACTTGTTTAACTAGTTACCACAATTCAACAGTAATAAAATATGTTTAAAGTTAATTAACAATAGGAACAGGTAACATCATATGTTAGCAATAATATATATAAAGCTAATGAACTTAAGGCACAAGGGCTGGAATCTTAATTGTCAAAGAAATACCAGCATATAATTACCACAGAAAAACTTCATGAATTTAGAAAACCTTTGAAAATCACAAGCAAAAAAAAAATACGTGTTGGTGGAATATAGCAAAAAGCTCATCCAAGCATTAGCATACATAATTAAAGAAGTAACAGATCAAAGTTTACGGCTAGATTAAATACTCACCGGTAAAAAGCAAGCTATTGGCAGTAGATTAGAGAAATATAATACTGTAAGTGTGTTTTGATAAATGTTTATCTTATATAAAATACTGGGTGAAAATATCAAGTCAGGTTCTTTTTCTGGTAAATCTGGACCCTCAAGTCTCATGCAAGGTGTACGAAAAATGCTACACATCTACAGGGAGATAACACACTCACACATCCAACCAATACATGGCACAGAGACATGGAATGACCAAAGGGTATCGAATAATGGAATTATTATCTCCAACACAACCAAGTTTCAAATAATTTTAAAATAATGTCAACATGAAACATACAAATATGAGTAGCAAAAAAAAACTTTTAACCTTTTAACTCTGAATTATCAAATTTGCAAAAATCCACAAGTAAAATTTAAAATAACAAGATTACCCATATAAAACAACCGAGCTACCATTTAATTTCGATGAGCTATTCAGATGAAAAATAATTATGCTTAAGGCTAATTTACAATACTCAGGGGCAGCCTATTTTTAGATTTGACGAGATATTCAGCTGAAAAGTAATGAGCTATACTAAAAGCTAATGAACAATATTCGTAGTAGCATACTGTTTAGTTTTGACTAGATATTCAGCTGTAAAGTTATGAGATATACTAAAAGCTAATTAACAATATTCAGCTGGAGCATATTGTTTAGATTTGACGAGATATTCAACTGGGGCCTATTGTTTAGTTTCGACGAGATATTCAGCTTATTGTTTAGTTTCGACGAGATATTCAGCTTATTGTTTAGTTTTGACCAGATATTCAGCTGGAGCTACAGCGCTCCACTCACACCACGAGCCGTTGTACACAGGAACATCAACCTTCCCCAGGATGTGGGCAGCCAAGGCCACGGCACATGCGGTCATTCCTCTCTGGCATGTGGCCACGACCGGCTTCGTTAGATCAACCCCCGCAGCATCAAACAGCTGCTGTAGCTCCACTTCAGACTTCACGGTCATGTCTTCATTGAACAACGTTGGAAACGGGATGTTTTTAGACCCTGGAATATGCCCTCCGGAAGGATCGTCGTCTGTTGTGTAAAAACCTGGAGCGGCTGGTCTGGCATCAATTATCTGGACATCCTGACTTTGAACAAGTTTCATCATGGATTTGAAATCTTTGAGAAGTTCACTTCTGAGGTTGACGGAAAACACGGATTTTTCAGCAGGTCTGGGTTCTACTTGTGTCACGTGGTTCCCGTCTTTAAGCCACTGCGTCATCCCTCCATTCAACACGGAGACCTTGTCGTGCCCAAACAAACGAAACAAGTACCAGGTTCTCATACTGGAGCGGGAATTCAGACTGTCGTACGCAACAACGTGTGTGTTGTTGTTGATGCCGAAGCTCTCAACATATTCCTGAAACAAGTTGGAGTCTGGAATTGGACAATCTATAGGAGAGTCGGGTCTTTTCTTACTGAGTTTCTTCAGGTCAAAGAAGTAAGAGTTTTCTATGTGGCCCTTCTTGTAGAACTCTGTGTAGCCGTCAACATGGGGCTCTGGTAGCCAGCTGGTGTCCAGTACACGTAACTGACCTTTGGAGGCAGCTCCGGCTTGGGCTAATCTCTGTTTTAGCCAGCTGGTTGAGACAAGGGCGGCGACTCTCTGAATGGTCATTTCGTATCAGGCTGAAAAGGAAAGGTGGTTTGTTTTGTTTTTTTTGGGGGGGGTTTTTGGGGGTTTTTTTTTTGGGTTTTTTTTTTTTTGACATTACTAAAAGTAGAAAGATTCAGGAAAAGTATGATGCGAAAAATAAATGTATTAATTATAAAATCTAAGTTAATATTATTAATATATCAATTATCGAAGTTACATATTTCTACCGTTCGGGGTTTGTCCATAAATGAAGTAACACTCCAAAGGGGGTAGAGGGGGGGTGGTAGTTTGGCGATGATGTATGAAGAGGGAGGGGCGGTTTAGAAAAGAGAAATTTCATACGTTTTGTTTTAATAGCAATATTTTTAAACTGAATTTTAGCATTGTTTTTGCCGTTTTAAAGATTATAAAACTGTCATGGAAATCGATCACTATTATTATGGTTGGGGGTGTAGGCTTAAGTGTGACATCAGTTAAGGGTTGTTGTTGCTTTTGGTTGTTTTTTTTTTTTTGGGGGGGGGGGGGGGGGGGGCTGACTTTTATTCTTTGGTAATTTAAAAACTAGTTTTATTTACAGCTACGAAAATATAAACCTACATCTAATCAAAATGAAGGTTTACATACTTTAAAACCCTTTTTTAATAAAGAAATAATCCTTTCGGGATCATAAAATTGTCATTGTTCAATTCAGCGGTGATTCTTTTGTACAGATCAAATAAAAGCAGGATATCTATGTTTTGCCTTTATTTTTATTAAAACAGCTTAAAAACTTAAAAAGCGGAAGCTACGACCCGCACCGAACTAAAGATAACAATACATTAGTGCGTCACATACCACGCGCACGAAGGAATCGCTAGCAATTGCGGAGATTCCCGAAAATCGAATGTCAACAAGCGCGAGCGGTGTGCACCGGCTTGCGCGATCACGTCCCCAATGTTATTTTAAGTAACAATAAACACTATTTAAACAGTCATTAGACTGGTATCTATGTCAGGAATACTAAGTCCACCATCGAGGCCTAATTATTATGTGGGGGTATCGGCTAGATCCGTTGGTTTTTAATCAAGCGAGCGACCGGTAAACAGAAGAAACTAGGTCACACGTTTTGTTCGACCTACCGCGCCGTTCTACAGGTAAGGCAGTGGTCCTACAGTTTCTACCTCAACGGTTCGTGTCTAGTAGAGATACAGCGGGAGTCAGCTCCCCTAAACGTTCTCGTATATTCTTTTATAAAGGGTTGGGGTCAGAGTTTCTTTCAGGCATCTCTTCGAAAAAGAATGTATATAGAAAATATATACTTTTACAAGTGTCCACCACATCCCCCCCCCGGAAAATCTAGTCCCCCCCCCCCCCCCACGAGTCTGAAAGAAACACTGGTTGGGGGGGGGGGGGGGTACTAGGAATGGTACAAAACCGCTTGTATTTGGAGAAAACAAATGAAAACAAAATGTTCTTTGATTTAGCTACTTTATGACATGATTGATATTAAAAGTAACAAATTCAGAAGTTTGGGAAACCGAAAATAGAGTAAAATACTTTTAACAGTTACTGAAAATTAAAAAAAAAAGTTTATAGAAACCAACGTATAGTATCTAATAGGTCTGCTTATAGCAAACTGAAAAGGTACTTAAATTATCATGTTTTTCCGTCACAGGAAGGTGAAAAACGTCAAGATTTGTCAAAATAACGATTTCGACTTTTTGCACGACCGCAACACCCCCCCCCCCCCCCCTCCTCTAGTCTGTATACAAGAAAGTGCAAATCCATGAATAGGGAAGGTCTTACAGCTCAGAACTGAGACAGGGGCGGAACTACAGTGCCGCCAGACCCCGCATTGCGGGGGGAGGGGGGGGGGGCCCACGCCAGTTGGGGGCCCACAGCGGACCATAATATTTTTGTTATAGTTAAAAAAATAATAATTTTCTTGCATTTTTATCTTGATGGTTGTTTTGTAAAAAAAAAGATTACTGTAGCTACGGTTGGATTATCTTTATTCTATAGACACCACCCCACGCTCGTGTATATTCTTTTTCCCTTTGATTTTAAACCATTGTGAAAGCCGAGTCCTCTTTCTCCTACAATCAAACTTATCAAAGATAAGCAGACTTTCAAACCACTTCCATGACTTATTTCCCTTTTTTAAATAGTCAAATCGGGGTGCTCAAAAGCTCCTTTTAATATATTTATACTAAACATGTTAAAAAAAGCAATGACTTCTCTTAATTATTTTTTAAAAAGGACTTACTAAAGAATAGCATTGAATAAAAAGGAAAAGTATTTAAAATTTATAATATAAATACATACAAACATAAAAATAAACATAGCACGAGACGCCATTACTTATACAAAGCTTTCATGGTTTATATTCTTTTGACCGACCAGAGGTTTTAAGGTCTTAAAGTAGAGATAAAATAAAACTGATTTTCACTAAACACACAAAAGCACTAACACACATGACATGATCTTGTAATTTGTTTTAATTGAAAAAAACATTTTTTTGTTCATAACCCGAACAGGCCAGCAATGAGTATCATATGTTCGGATTATGTGTTTGTGTATATATATATATATATATATATATATATATATATATATATATATATATATATATATATATATATATATATACATATAGAAATATAGGCCTATATATATGTATATGAGGGGGGGGGGGGGCTAAAAAAAAATTTTGCGGGGTGGCCTTTTTTTTTTCTAGTTCCGCCACTGAACTGAGAACCACTGAGTCAACTCGTTATTAAACCGTTTGGGCAAAATTGGTTTACATTTGTCTCCCTTCTATACAGTGTAATGTAAACTAGGCCGTGGGGTAAGCTCCCTTGCCACTTTCTAAATAGCCGATGTGTACGGAAGTAAACATTCCCCCAATGGCCAGCGCTGGGACGTTTTTGTCCGCAATTTGTTCCCATCTGTTGGGTATAGACTATAGAAAGTAGGTTTTGTCGGGCTGTAGTGTTGGGCTGAAACAGGTCAATGACTTGCGCAATACAAACAAAACAAATTTGAACGCAACAAAAATAATTAAGGCAGGTGGCAGGCCTATATAATCATCTTTAAATTACGTCATACTTTTGTGAGGGGGAAGGGGGGGTGGTGTCTGACTTATCCTGACATTTAGGAAAGGCACCCATTAAAGTCACGCTTTTTAAAACTATTTTACCCTCCCTTCTTGTTGTCACAAAAGCCAGACCCCCCCTTGACAAATGATAAAACCGCGCCCCCCGCCTCCACCCCAATAGCTTAACTAAAGAATTATAAAATGCTTTTCTACTTTGTATACAGAAATGTGGTATTGTGCAGCAGGTTGTCACCAGTGTTTATTTTAGACTTTTTTCTCCGAGGGGTGGGGTGGGGGGGGGGGGGGGGCACTTGAAATTTTCCGGAGTAGACATTAGCGGGGGATGCCCCCCCCCCCCCAAAGAGATGCCTGGAAGAAACTCTGGTTGTCATACTTAAAGCAGATTGTCAGTGTAGCGATTTGTCACAATGTATCAGTTTGTCACAATGTAGCAGTTTGTCACAATGTAGCAGTTTGTCACAATGTAGCAGTTTGTCACAATGTAGCAGTTTGTCACAATGTAGCAGTTTGTCACAATGTAGCAGTTTGTCACAATGTAGCAGTTTGTCACAATGTAGCAGTTTGTCACAATGTAGCAGTTTGTCACAATGTATCATTTTGTCACAATGTAGCAGTTTGTCACAATGTAGCAGTGTCACAATGTAGCAGTTTGTCACAATGTAGCAGTTCGTCACAATGTATCATTTTGTCACAATGTAGCAGTTTGTCACAATGTAGCAGTTTGTCACAATGTAGCAGTTTGTCACAATGTATCATTTTGTCACAATGTATCATTTTGTCACAATGTAGCAGTTTGTCACAATGTAGCAGTTTGTCACAATGTATCATTTTGTCACAATGTAGCAGTTCGTCACAATGTATCATTTTGTCACAATGTAGCAGTTTGTCACAATGTAGCAGTTTGTCACAATGTATCATTTTGTCACAATGTAGCAGTTTGTCACAATGTAGCAGTTTGTCACAGTGTAGCCAATGGTCACAGAGGAAGAAAGCTGTGACACAGCTGTACTGTTACACAGACTGTCATAACACTACACAAAGATAGTCATGGTGGATCTGACTGCCATATGGTCTCAAGTCTAAAAGGTTGTTAACAGTTCAAACAGGCTCTCACAATAAAATAAGTTATTAAAATATGAACCAGGTTATCACACAGTTAAACAGGTGGTCAAAGTATGAAACATCCCTGAACTTAAACTCCAAACTTTTAAATCCCCTTACAAATTCATAAGACTCATACTTCAATTTCAATATAAGTAGGACTTTAAAAATAATTTAGTGATGAAATCAGCATGATAAAGCATCTACCAAGTTTTGAAGAAACTTGAACCAAATATATAAGAACTTAGTAGGTGTATTATACTCACAGAAATCACGCGTAAAACAAAAAGGTCTTTTGCTGCATGGACTAAATGGCACCTGTTACTCTGGATGTAGCTAACATGCCATAATGGCCAACTCCAGAACCTGGGATATGCAATATAATTACCATTAACCTAATTAGGTGCAAGCTTTTTGTATTGTTTTTGACACTTAATTAGTTAATTAACAGTAACACGTCTATCTGTGTATTAAGCAAGCAAATTAATTACAGGTAAAAATTGTGGAAAGGATAGAGTTAATTGCCCAGTTGGGTTGATGCATTACATCCTCTATGACTGGACTCAACCATGATATGGTAATGCAAAATAGCCACACAAAAAAACTTTTGACATGATAATATGGTGGCATGAGAAAATGTATTAAAATTTAAAACAAATCTTATAATTAAATTTTTGAGCCTTGTTTAAAAATAACAAAATAAAAAGTTCCAAACTATTAAAAGTTAAGACTAAATTATTGTATTATTTTGTATAGTTATAACATTTTTAAACATATCATAGAAAGATAAGTAACAATTCTATTTTGAATTTTTAAAATCTACATAGGCCTACAGTTTAACCCAGTTAAAAATGTTGACCATTTGCCAAGTTGGCCACCACAAATTTCCAAAATGGCCTTCACAATTCCCAGAAAGGCCTTCACTGTTCTCAAAATGGCCTCCACCAATCCCAAATTGGTCTCCAGCATTCCCAAGATGGTCTCCTTCATTCACAAAATGGCCTTCTCCAATCCCATATTGGCCCCCAATATTACCAAAATAGCCTACACTATTCACAACATGGCCTCCACCATTCCCAAATGGCATTCACGTTGCCAAGTTAATCGCACCCAAGTTAACTTTCACACATTCAATCAATAACTATGCTTATGAATTATTGCACAGATTAATCTATTTTAACTGATTGTTAACCTGTAAGGTGATGTTTTATTAAAGTTCATCAATTTTTTATTCTAGATCAGCTTAAAAGTTAAAGAATTAGAATAAAATAGTTTTGTTCAGTGCACATTCTAGTAATTTGTTTTTACTTGCAAGATTTGTAAAAGAATTTATGTTTTACAATGTATTTTACCTTGAGAAAAAGGCATCACACTCAAGTAATCACACACATTTTTACAAACCATAAATAATGATGGGATTTTTTTTTAGCAAAGTCTCATACGTGTTTCTTTTATATGGCTTCACTTTGTACAGACTTAGTATAATTATTAATACTTTTGTTTTCGAAGATGCCTTACTGCTTTCTAAAGAAGAATTCTATAGGCCTAATAATCATAAAATATTAAAAAGCAAACTCGACAGTCTATATTTTATTTTAATAATTATGATTTGTTTGTTTATTGGATGCTCTTGACCAAGTTTTTCTTTGCTTTCGAGCAAGTCAATTTATTGGAAGTTTTTTTTAGTTAAAGGAAAGTTTAGGAATGCACAGCTAGGAACATGAGTGCCCTCATAAGGTCTATATTCCTATTTAAATGCAGTATGCAATATTAACTATCCATCTTGTCATCAACCCACTTTTCAAACAGGCAAATTTCTTTTGCATGGTCAAGGCTCACTAAGATACATCAAATACACATTAGTCTATAATTTAGTATAATACATCAAATAAAGATGCAATGCTAAAAACAAAAGGAAACTCACTTATTCAATAAACAAGCTAAACTGCTAAAGCGCATATTTTCAAAGTGCCATGATGTCTCAAGCCTCGTTTGTTTATTTTGAAAGCTGATTATCAGCTTAACTAACCGTAATTATTAATTAGGCCTAATTAATAAAAAACAAAAGAATAATACTTAGGATAATAGTTTCAGAAGTGGGATTTTAGGAAACTGGCCCAGTCATCATTTTTGCAAATATTATAATTAAGAATTAAGACTAAGAGTCTAATAGTAATAATTAGATTAAGAATATTAAGTAGGCCTAATACTGTCTAATAGAACAGCCTATAGGCCTAGATATATATATTTTATTAGTTATTACACCTAAAGTTAGAGCCTAAAAATATAGTATTCTATTAAAAGTATTGATTAATGATTTAGTAGGCCCTAATGACATCAGTTATTGTTTTTATTAGGCCTAATCCTATTATTATTTAGGCCTAGAGAGACAAGTAGGCCTAATGTAATGAATAAAGTAAAGGGTAATCTATCGCTTTAGGTACGTAAAATCGCCCGCTGCTAGTAATGTACGAAAAAGTAACCTTATTGTCAAGGCTTTAATAGAAGTATATTGTGATATATTTGTGTCACATATTATAGATCAATGAATAATAAACCTAAATCAATAGCTAAATATATCAATATAGGCAAGAAATTAACTTTAAACAGAAGTGTTTGCGAGCAGGATTTGCTATATAAAAAGCTGCCATCTGTAAGTTAGAGTGACTTCCCCTGAATCTTGCGCTATAAGTTAACAATAAAAAGAAATAAACAAGATGGCTGCTATAGTAAATGAGCATGGTTGCATCTGTTGGAAACATCGCCAGTCTTCATTTATTACTGAAAAGTTTTAATTCAATTGTTTAAAAACAGGTAGGCCTACATAAATTAAACAAGGAAACATTTTTGTATTTTTCAAAACATAAATCCTCCAAAAAATGTGAAATAATTATTAAAATTTAAGGAATCACCTGTTTTTCACATTACTAGTCGCGGGCGATTTTACGTACCTAAAACGATAGATTACCAAAGGTGGCGTAGCCAGGATCGTCTCAAGGGGGGGTTCCAATTTTTTCCCAGGGACAAACTTTCGATTTACACCCCCCCCCCTCAAACTTTCGATTTGCACCCCCCTCAAACTTTCGATTTGCACCCCCCCCCCTCATACTTTTTCTATATAGTATATACCGAGGGGTCTATGGGGGGGGGGGGTTATGACACCCCCTAACCCCCCCCCCCTGCCTACGCCACTGATTACCAAGTAAAGTACCAGAAAGTTAGTAACTACAGTCTAAAGTTGTAGTCTAAAGTAAAACAGCTACGGCTAAGGCAGGGCAGGGTAATTATTATTAAGCTAGGCTAAGTCTAGCTAGATCTAGATCTAACTAAATAGAATATTGATATAATGATACTGGATAGTCTAGTCTACTCTTAGTCACTCTATACTCTATGCTACACTAGTACACTACTATCAGTACTACTAAGTTACTAACAACTAAAAACACTAGGCTACAGCACGTACTTAGACTTAAGTTACTTCTCTAGTAGTTTAGTAGTTAGTAGTACCAAGGGAGAAGATGCAGAGATGTAGTTGGTAACACTAGTTAGGGCCTAGATCAAGTTGCTAGATCTAGATCTACTAGACCTAGAATCTACTAGTTGACTAGATTCTAGACTAGTCTAGTAGTCTAGATCTGGAAACGATGCCGTAAGCTAGCAGTTGCCAGGCCCGGCGTTAGTCCTATATTTAGTGTGTAGATCTAGTTGCTAGCAGTATCAAAATTTCATTACGTAAACAATACATGTTCATACTACTAGTAAGGTACTAGATCTATTTGTAGAGTAGTAATGTCTTAGCGACAGATAGTAATGTTTTAAAATAAAAAAAAAATACATAGCTGTGTGTAATTTAATATTTACTAGATCTAGATTCTAGATCTCGCCGAAGTAATTCAAGTTTTAAATGTAAGAAAAAAAGTACAGAAAATGTGCTTTAATAAACCTTTGGCTTTTGACCCCCACTGTTTAAAAACTACGAAACAATTCATATTAGAAACTTATAAATTCTATACTCCCAGATCTTAATCGATATTTTACTGCATGGGGCATCCCTTTCACATGTCCACGAAAAAAAAGGTGTAGGCAATGTCAGATGAAGATGTACAAGTTAAATTTATTTAGGGCTAGTAGGGTAAATTGTTAGGCCCTATATATATATATATATATATATATATATATATATATATATATATATATATATATATATATATATATATATATATATATATATATATATATATATATATCCCTACTATAACAAAAACAAAACTTTTTTCTTGCAAAAAAAAAAAACAATAAATAAAATAAACCAAAACGAATACGTCTTAATTTAAACAACAGAGCTCACGTTAAAATAAAAGATACAACAAGCAACGGAGGGTAATAAATCACGACATTTATATCTATATAAATATTTATAAAAAAAATAGACTCGACGTAATGTAATTGATGCCGACACAGAAACAGGTGTCATGAACTCGATGTTGAGTTTGATTAAACTACAGACCTAGTGCTGCTCGCATATTACTGAAATAACATTTTCAAAGTATCTTACAAAACTCCTTTTTCATACACTACTTCGGGGGGGGGGGGAGGGGTGAGAGGGACTGGTAAAAAGTGTCTCCCCCCGAAAAGATGCCTGAAAGAAACTATAGTGTTCTACCAAACTGCATAACAATGTCTTACAATAGATTGTTTATTAAGCTATATTTAAGGTAAAGTCATGCAAATCGATGTTGTGTCTAATCTAAACCAAATATGCCCACATTTCAGTTCAAATCAGGACTGATGCTTTGTTTTTATTTTATTTTTTTTCCTCTGTTTGAATGGACATCCAGGCCTACATCTACATATATTGTTCAGCCTGGAAAAGACGTAGATTTAATGTTCACACACACACTCACACACACACGCCCGCACACACAGACATACACAGAGGTAAACACACACACACACACATGCATATAAAACACACATACACCTTACAAAGTGATCAGTGTTTCTTCCAGACTTTTTTCTCCGGGGGGGGGGGGGCACTTGAAATATTTTCGGGGGGGGGGGGGTAGACTTTCTTCGGGGGGGCGGACACTGTTAAAGTATATATTTTCTATATAAATTATATAAATTTCATTTCGTTCGGGGGGGGGGGGGCGGTAAAAAAATTTCGGGGGGGGGGGGTCTAAGCCGCCGCCCCCCCCCCCCCCGAACAGATGCCTGGAAGAGACTCTGAAAGTGATTATCAAATCTGTTATTTCTAATGATCTATTGTCACCCCTCCCCATCCCCTAATCTCGTTACTCTGCAATGACCAATTCCACATCAGTCTCCAGACCTTTTAACTTCACATCTCTTGCCACTAATCAACACCCCCAGGGGCGTAGCGAGGTCGGGTGTCACCCGGTGCGGCACTTAACGGTGTCACCCCCCCCCTCCCCCAGAGGCGTAGCGACCCTTCCCGGGGACAAACTTTCAATTTTCGATTTGCACCCCCCCCCCAAACTTTCGATTTGCACCGCCCCCCCCCCCCTCAAACTTTTGACTTTTGATTTGCACCGCCCCCCCCCCCCCCAACTCTCGATTTGTACCCTACCCCCCCCCCCCCCTCAAACTTTCGATTTGCACATCTTGAAAGACTATTTAACACTCGAATTAATCACTTAATTGAGTGGAATTATCATTTTTCTCTATATATTTTGCTATTTTTTGCCTTGGTGTCACCCCCCTAAATGGTGTCACGCCGGCCGGTCCGCACCCCACCCCCCCCCCCCCTCGCTACGCCTCTGAACACCCCTATACATTTCTAGGCCTCTCACTCTCTTCATACCCACGTACATTATAAACATGGAACAATTTTAAAAGAGAAACGCAGAAGCTTTAATATATAGGCCACAGCTCAAAAGATAACAATACAACAGAGCCAAATACGGAGCATTTTATTTTAAATTGTATTGTTTAAAAACGGAAGTACATAGTTGAATTCGATGTTGAAAATTTACAAAGTTCAAGCAAAGATTGTCGATGTATTTAAATTGTAAACCTTTTTGTATATGAAAATTAATCTTGTAGTTTTATTGCAAACTCCTATCTGTATTGTGTCATAATGTATTGTTTGAGGTTGACATAAAACATATGTTGAGTACTGTTGATTCTTTTTTTGCAATTATGAACAATGAACTTGTCCAAACCTAGTTTAGATTATAAGACATACTTTCAGTAAATGAGTGTGGGAGATGTTTGGGTAGGGGTGGGGTTGGTGAATAAATCAGTAGGTCCTAAATACTGTTGAGACATAACAAAGCTCTTACGATAAGGAAACATGCATAAACACTATAATGACAACAGAGGTTAATTTTTTAAGTGTGCCTTATAATTCAGCTAATGTTTGGTTTTGACTAGATATTCAGGCAGATTTGCTTAAGGCAGTGGTAGCCTAATCAGTGGCGTAGCGAGGTCGGGTGTCACCCGGTGCGGCACTAAATGGTGTCACCCCCCCCCCCCCCCCCCCAGAAGCGCAGCGACCCTTCCCGGGAACAAACTTTCAAATTTTCGATTTGCACCCCCCTCAAACTTTTGATTTGCACCCCCCCCCCCTCAAGTTTTTCTCTATATTTTGCTTTTTTTTTACCTTGGTGTCACCCCCTAAATGGTGTCATCCGGTGCGGTCCGCACCCCCCGCCCCCCCCCCCCCCCCTCGCTACGCCTCTGAGCTTACTGTTTAGTTTTGACGAGTTATTCAGCTGATAAAATAACAAGATTTGCTTAAGACAGTGGTAGCCTAATCTTTAGTTTTGACGAGATATTCAGCTGGAGCCTATTGTTTAGTTTTGACGAGATTTTCAGTTTGAGCCTATTGTTTAGTTTTGACGAGATATTAAGCTGGAGCCTATTGTTTAGTTTTGACGAGATATTCAGCTGGAGCCTATTGTTTAGTTTTGACGAGATATTCAGCCTATTGTTTAGTTTTGACGAGATATTCAGCCTATTGTTTAGTTTTGACGAGATATTAAGCTGGAGCCTATTGTTTAGTTTTGACGAGATATTCAGCTGGAGCCTATTGTTTAGTTTTGACGAGATATTCAGCCTATTGTTTAGTTTTGACGAGATATTCAGCCTATTGTTTAGTTTTGACGAGATATTCAGCTGGAGCTACAGCGCTCCACTCACACCACGAGCCGTTGTACACAGGAACATCAACCTTCCCCAGGATGTGGGCAGCCATGGCCAGAGCACATGCGGTAATGCCAACGTGACAAGTCGAGACCACGGGTTTCTGTAGATCAACACCCGCAGTAGTAAACAACTGCTGCAAGTCTGTTTCCGATTTCAACGTTCCATCTTCATTAAACAACGTTGAAAATGAAATGTTTTTAGCACCTGGAATATGACCACCGGTTGGGTCATCCTCTGTGACGTAGAAGCCACTTGGTCTGGCATCAATTATCTGGACATCCTGACTTTGAACAAGTTTCATCATAGACTGGTAATCTTTGAGAAGGTCACTTCTAAACTGGACGGAGAATTCGGATTTTTCAGCAGGTTTGGGCTCTTCCTGAGTCACGTGGTTCCCGTCTCTCTGCCACTGTGTCATCCCTCCATTCAACATGGAGACCTTGTCGTGCCCAAACAAACGGAACAAGTACCAGGTTCTCATACTGGAGTAAGCATTAACGCTATCGTACGCCACGACATGAGTGCTGTTGTTGATGCCGAAGCTCTCAACATATTCCTGAAGCAAGTTGGAGTCTGGAACTGGGAAATATATCGGAGAGTCGGATCTTTTTGTGCCGAGCTTGTCCAGATTGAAGAAGTAAGAGTTTTCTATGTGACCCTTCTTGTAGAACTCTGTGTAGCCATCAGCATAGGGATATGGTTGCCAGCTAGTGTCCAATACACGTAACTGACCTTTGGAGGCAGCTCCCGCCTGAGCTAATCTCTGTTTTAGCCAGCTGGTCGAGACAAGGGCGGCGACTCTCTGAATAGTCATCTTTCTGTTTAATTTTTAAAATAATTACATTATTAGAGATTTAAAACTATAATACACAGAAGATTATTTGTAAAATATTGTGCACAAACAGATAACAAGCGCATTAATACTATTAAACATACGCTCGTATTTTAAACCATTTTTTATGTGGAATTTTGAAACAATGTGAGGACATATCTTAGATCATTATAAGTATAATTATATTCGTATTTAATTATTATTGTTTGGATTCTCAATTATTTTTAGCGCAATTTCCATTCTGGAGAATTGCGTTTATTAACTCGTCATTTTTGGGAATGGATGGATGAATGAATGAATGTATGGATGAATGTGTATCCGGGCTTTAAGTCGTATCTCCTCCTCAACGAAGCAATATCGATGACTAGTTCCAAAAGCAATTATGTTAAGCAAGTTACGAGAATGAGCATAGGCCATAAAAATTCCGGGTTTCTTTCATGTATTTCCCGGAAAAGCCAAAAAACCTCGAAAAAAATCAGTTTTTGGCCCATATCTCGGCAACCAGACCACTTAGCGACTTGAAACATGTACCAATCGATTTCTGCCATAATTTAGAACAATATTGCCGAAGAAAGTTTTCAAAAATATCCTATCGTTCGGTCACAAATTTTAAAATTACATAAACACCTACAAACCGATCGTTCTTCTAGCTTGAACGCACCCCAGCGTTATACGTCAGAGCTATTTTTAGATAACATAAGGAAATTGCGCATAAATGTCACTAGACTTTTTTAATTAACTTGTTTTAAAGTGCACCATAGAGGTGATGAAAACCAAAAAAGTAAAATAAAAACAAGCGTTTCGGAGAAGGTTCCCCTTCAAAGTACGCACCCTTTCTGAGGTCAAAAAAAAAATAGAGGTATGATCATAGGTCAGGAGTCGGCAACCTGCAGCTCGCGAGCCGCATGCGGCTCTTTTGGTGCACAGATGCGGCTCTTCAGCTCCATACACAAATATTAATATTTTTTATCACCAACTCTTTAATTGCTTGTTTTAAAGTGCACCGCAGATGGTATGATCATAGGTGGTTAGACAATGGGTGGTTTAACCAAAAGTGGTTAGATCCCAGCGGGGAATTGACGACAAGTCAAATGACCCCAGCGGGGTGCTTTGTCCACAGAGGGTTTTGTTTCCGGGTGCTCTGAGCATGGCGTTATTGTCGTAGACTTTAATTTGCCAACGATTGAAGCATGCCAAGAAACATTTCCTGATGCTCGGGACACAGACGGCTACTACCATCTTGCCCAAACCGTATTACAAAAGGTACATGAGAGTGGAATGAAAGAAAATAACAAACAATATAGGTTACTTTTTGCTGTATTTTGTTTTGTATTTGAAGACGCTTTTAGAACAACGGTTAAAGTTATCCTACTCTGTACAACGTGATGTGGTACATAATGCTTCTTTCAGACATTTTTCTTCGGAGGAAAAGTAGCGAACGCTGGTAAATTTTTATTTTCCGCACAAATTATATTTTTTTCTTATCGTCCGAGTGCGGGGAGTGGTATTCGTGTTCCCGGGGCAATGCTACGCTCCCCCCCCCCCCCCCACCTGAAAGAAACTCTGTTCATACATATGATCAAACATATGGTCGTTATCCACATATCTGCATGCTGTTGTAAATCTATCACGTAGTTTACCATACAACTAATATTTATTTAACTACGTGTGCTATGTATTTTCTAGTAAATCTTCTGCTTTAAGTTGGGAATCTTACCTGTTGCCTACTTTGTTTTCATTTTACGATACATTATGAAAAATAGTAGGCCTAGAACGACACTTTATTTGAACCACACAAAAAACGGGTGCTGATTTTTTTCTGTATTACATGGTAATTACTTTTGGCAGTTCATAGTAAACATGTCTCATAAAATATCCTTAATTGTTATACAAATGTTAAACTCTAAATAAAAGTTGAGTATAATTATAAATCAAGTCTTGACAAAAACACGTATGGACATTGTCCATGTGGTCAAAGCTCCGCTGTGGTCAAACCACCTTCAGTCAAAAGCACATAGAACGAACAGAAAAATAAGAAAGTATAATCTGCTATAATTGCTCTCTTCGTGATTTTTTTTTTTTTTTTGGAAAATAATTTAAAAATTAGATGAATTTTTTAATACCTACTTATTTTGAACATAATCTACTCGACGCTAAGTAAAGTACTTAATAAGCAAGTATGGTATATCTAACTAAACAATATTTTGGTAAAATTGATTTGTTGACATATTGTACTCACACCAACACACGCAGAAATGTCGTTCATGCAAGGTTCTAGCCAAATCTCTCGTAACTTAAAAAACGTAGGCCTACTACTCAAAATTAAGATCAAAACAAAGGTAAATTACCTTTTCAAGTTGCTTAAGTCGTGAAGTTCTAATTCATTTATTCCCTGATAAAATTTCCCGTCAAAAATGGTCAACGTTTGCGTATACAGTTCAGCGAGATAGAATGGTACGCTATATGTTTTAACGAAAGAATGTTTTGAGAATAAAATAAAAATGGGAGCGAGTACAGCAGCATCCTTGTTAAACATTGGCCTACATTTCGCTGCGAGGATTGGTGAGTACGTCTAGGTCACTGTAGCTGTATGACAGGTGAGTCTAGTACACGGGGTGGGTACACAGAAATATGACAGGTGAGTCTAGTACACGGGGTGGGTACACAGAAATATGACAGGTGAGTCTAGTACACGGGGTGGGTACACAGGAATATGACAGGTGAGTCTAGTACACGGGGTGGGTACACAGAAATATGACAGGTGAGTCTAGTACACGGGGTGGGTACACATGAATATGACAGGTGAGTCTAGTACACGGGGTGGGTACACAGAAATATGACAGGTGAGTCTAGTACACGGGGTGGGTACACAGAAATACATGGTGCTGGGCCGCATGTATATCAGGTAGCCGGTTAGGCAAATGCACTGTACAAAATGTTGTACCGTTGTTGTACAATTTTTTATTTAAGGTTGTTGGGCAAAAAAAAAAACAGTTCCTAAACTTATGTTAACTTTAAAAAATTGTGTAGTCCTATATTTGCACAAAAATTTTAACATATGATAAAATGTTAAGTAACACTTTTATTTTGAATTTTTAAATTTGTATACGTCTACAGTTTAACACATATAGTAATTTTTACCAGTTGTTAAAATTAGCCTCCGTCTTTCTTAAATAGATCTTCACCCTTCCCTAGTTAGACTACACCATTCCATAATCGGACTTTTCAATTCCCTAATTGGACTCCACCATTCCCAAATTGGACTCCACCATTCCCTAATTGGACTCCACCATTCCCAAATTGGACTCCACCATTCCCTAATTGGACTCCACCATTCCCAAATTGGACTCCACCATTCCCTAATTGGACTCCACCATTCCCAAATTGGCCTCCACCATTCCCAAATTGGACTCCACCATTCCCAAATTGGACTCCACCATTCCCTAATTGGACTCCACCATTCCCTAATTGGACTCCACCATTCCCTAATTGGACTCCACCATTCCCTAATTGGACTCCACCATTCCCTAATTGGACTCCACCATTCCCTAATTGGACTCCACCATTCCCAAATTGGACTCCACCATTCCCTAATTAGACTCCACCATTCCCAAATTGGACTCCACCATTCCCTAATTGGACTCCATCATTCCCTAGTTGGACTCCACCATTCCTTAATTGGACTCCACCATTCCCTAATTGGACTCCATCATTCCCTAATAGGACTTCACTATTCCCAAGATTACCTTAACATTACTAAGTTAACCACATCCACGTTGGCTTTCACACCGTTGACATAATCCAATTAATTATTATGCTTATTAATTATTACACTAATTAAACTACTTTTCAATCAGTGATCGCCTTTTAGGCAAAAGTAAAGTTCCATTTTAAACTTGACGATCCATTAACCAAGTGAAGTAGAGTTCATCTGTTTCTGTGACCTCGGCATATAAAGTGATAGTGTGGCCAGCACTATGTCCAGCCGCTTTCACTTTTCTTAACGTGAGTCAGGTATCCATTAGAGCTGAGTTTGACTCAGGGACGGGCATAAACCTGAATTCGAACTCGAAACTTTTTAACTCCACATTCATTTCTATTACTCCTAATCCCTCCTCCCATGTCTATACATCATTATCACTTCTCTTCGCAAATAAAGAAATACATTATAAATAATAAACATTCGATTTAAAAATAAACCGGGAGTGATCTCCCCTAAACTTTCTCGAATATTCTTATATAAAATAACAGGGGATGAGAACTCGGGCTATAGACATGATTTTTAATCCATTTTAAATACTTAAAGTTTCAAAAATAGAATAAAATCTAGTAGACAAATTAATTGCACACCAAGTGAACGCCAAATAAAAAAGCGCATAATAGTGCGCAATATTATTAGTACTTTTAAAATTTACATTAGTTTTTTGAGAAATCGGAAGTAGCGTAAAGAACTACTTCCAGTCAACGGAAATTAGTCAAAATTTGATAGAAGGTAGAGAATTAGATCTTTTACTTACATGTGAAATTTCATGTATCTATCTGAAATAGTACTCAAGTTATAGGCTTTTGAAAAATTCAAAGTAGCAAAAGTACCACTTCCGGTTATCGGAAATCACTCAAAATTTGATACGGATCTACGATTTTGATAAAATACTTATATATGAAATTTCATCAACCTAGCTGTAACGGTACTCAAGTTATCGTGTTTACACACGGACAGACAGACAGACACACAGACAGACACACAGACAGACGGACAAGATTGCAAAATTATGTTTTTCCGTATCAGTGAGGTGTAAAACGTCGAGATTTGTAAAAATCTCGATTTTTTTAATATTTTTTTTTTGCACGATTACAAGACTTTCTCTATACTTCGTATATACGAGAAAGTAAAAACAGAAACAAAGAAGCGTATAATGTAAGCTAGCAAAAGATAACAGTAAAATGTAGCCAAATACAGGGCAGTTTATTATCTTATTTTATATAGAAAACAGTACATGGTTAATTACGACAAGTAGATCGATGTTGAGAATTTGCAATAATGAATCAATACTATTGTGACAACAGAGTTACATTTGATAATGCGTAGCGTTATAAAAGAGCTACTGTTTTGACGAGATATTCAGTTGATAAAATAAGATTTTCTTAAGGCAGTGGTAGCCTATTGTTTAGTTTTGACGAGATATTCAGCCTATTGTTTAGTTTTGACGAGATATTCAGCTGGAGCCTATTGTTTAGTTTGACAAGATATTCAGCTGGAGCCTATTGTTTAGTTTTGACGAGATATTCAGCTAGAGCTTATTGTTTAGTTTTGACGAGATATTCAGCTGGAGCCTATTGTTTAGTTTTGACAAGATATTCAGCTGGAGCCTATTGTTTAGTTTTGACGAGATATTCAGCTAGAGCCTATTGTTTAGTTTTGACGAGATATTCAGCTAGAGCCTATTCTTTAGTTTTGACGAGATATTCAGCTAGAGCCTATTCTTTAGTTTTGACGAGATATTCAGCCTATTCTTTAGTTTTGACGAGATATTCAGCTAGAGCCTATTGTTTAGTTTTGACGAGATATTCAGCTAGAGCCTATTGTTTAGTTTTGACGAGATATTCAGCTAGAGCCTATTGTTTAGTTTTGACGAGATATTCAGCCTATTGTTTAGTTTTGACGAGATATTCAGCTGGAGCCTATTGTTTAGTTTTGACGAGATATTCAGCTGGAGCCTATTGTTTAGTTTTGACAAGATATTCAGCTGGAGCCTATTGTTTAGTTTTGACGAGATATTCAGCTGTAGCCTATTGTTTAGTTTTGACCAGATATTCAGCTGGAGCCTATTGTTTAGTTTTGACGAGATATTCAGTCTATTGTTTAGTTTTGACGAGATATTCAGCTGGAGCCTATTGTTTAGTTTTGACGAGATATTCAGCTGGAGCTACAGCGCTCCACTCACACCACGAGCCGTTGTACACAGGAACATCAACCTTCCCCAGGATGTGGGCAGCCATGGCCAGAGCACATGCGGTAATGCCAACGTGGCAAGTTGAGACCACAGGTTTCTGCAGATCAACACCCGCAGTAGTAAACAACTGCTGTAAGTCTGTTTCCGATTTCAACGTTCCATCTTCATTAAACAAAGTTGAAAATGAAATGTTTTTAGCACCTGGAATATGACCACCGGTTGGGTCATCTTCTGTGACGTAGAAGCCACTTGGTCTGGCATCAATTATCTGGACATCCTGACTTTGAACAAGTTTCATCATAGACTGGTAATCTTTGAGAAGGTCACTTCTAAACTGGACGGATAATTCGGATTTTTCAGCAGGTTTGGGTTCTTCTTGTGTCACGTGGTTCCCGTCTCTCTGCCACTGTGTCATCCCTCCATTCAACATGGAGACCTTGTCGTGTCCAAACAAACGGAACAAGTACCAGGTTCTCATACTGGAGTAAGCATTAACGCTATCGTACGCCACGACATGGGTGCTGTTGTTGATGCCGAAACTCTCAACATATTCCTGAAACAAGTTGGAGTCTGGAATTGGGCAGATTATAGGAGAGTCGGGTCTTTTACTACTGAGCTTATTAAGATTAAAGAAGTAAGAGTTTTCTATGTGTCCCTTCTTGTAGAACTCTGTGTAGCCGTCAACATGGGGCTCTGGTAGCCAGCTAGTGTCCAGTACACGTAACTGACCTTTGGAGGCAGCTCCGGCTTGAGCTAATCTCTGTTTTAGCCAGCTGGTTGAGACAAGGGCGGCGACTCGCTGAATGGTCATATTGCTGTTGAAGTTAACAATTGTTATACTTTACAGTTTTTAGATTAACAATGGATTGGAGATTATTTGTAACTTTCTTATGATAAATAGATAGCAAAAAAAAAGGTTCATGTTACAAAATATGTGTCGTATATATATAGTTATGAATATGATTTTGAATTAGTAACAGAAATTAGCTGACCAAAAAATATCTCTATAGCATACTTTATTTTAGAAAATTATTATTTAAATTCAAAATAGCTTATTAATTCAACTAAATTTGCTTGAAACATAAACTAAGATAGTATATTTATTTATATTTTTTAAGAATTTTGGTAACATGTATTTTGTTTACAATATTTTCTCACACTAACCATTACGCCTAGCTGCAATGTTTGTATTGCTTCATGCATGATTATTACTTAAACATTTTAAATATTTTACAACATCAGACGTTACTTTTAAACTACTGACACTAAAGATTTTAAACTAAAATTACCTTTTACGTGAAACGCAAGTCGTGAATATTTAATTCATATATTTTCTGGTGGAATTTCCCTTCAAAATTGTTGCAAGTCAACGTGTACAGTTCAGCGAGATGGGAAGATAGGTTGTTTTTATTTAAAGAAAACGTTGGGGAATTTAGAAAGAAAAAAAAATGGAAGCGAGTTGAGTGGCCTCCCTGTTTAAAATCGAGGCAGTGGCCTAAATTTTGCTGAGAGAAATGTTGAGTGGATTTAGAATCTAGCTGCATAACTGGCGAGTCTAGTAGTCTGCGAGGGTACACACACAGAAATAACTCTTGCTGGACTACATGTGTATCTATTCTAGTGTGTTGTTCTACATATTTGTTGTACAAGTTGTAGTTCAGTTTGTTGAACAAATGGTGGTACTTGTTCATATTGTTTTATGAATTGTGTTACCAGTTTGCTGTACAAGTTGTAGTTCAGTTTGTTGAACAAATGGTGGTACTTGTTCATATTGTTTTATGAATTGTGTTACCAGTTTGCTGTACAAGTTGTAGTTCAGTTTGTTGAACAAATGGTGGTACTTGTTCATATTGTTTTATGAATTGTGTTACCAGTTTGCTGTACAAGTTGTAGTTCAGTTTGTTGAACAAATGGTGGTACTTGTTCAAATTGTTTTATAAATATTGTTACCAGTTTGCTGTACAAGTTGTAGTTCAGTTTGTTGAACAAATGGTGGTACTTGTTCATATTGTTTTATGAATTGTGTTACCAGTTTGCTGTACAAGTTGTAGTTCAGTTTGTTGAACAAATGGTGGTACTTGTTCAAATTGTTTTATAAATATTGTTACCAGTTTGCTGTACAAGTTGTAGTTCAGTTTGTTGAACAAATGGTGGTACTTGTTCAAATTGTTTTATGAATTGTGTTACCAGTTTGCTGTACAAGTTGTAGTTCAGTTTGTTGAACAAATGGTGGTACTTGTTATTCAAATAGTCGTATAAGTTTTTGTATAAATTGTGGTACCAATTTGCTGTACAAGTTGTAGTTCAGTTTGTTGAACAAATGGTGGTACTTGTTAATCAAATTGTTGCATAAGTTTTTGTACAAATTGTGGTACCAGTTTGCTGTACAAATTGTTGTGCGTGTTGTGGTTAATTCTGTACATTTTGTTGTATAATTTTCTTGTACAAATTGTAGTACAATTTGTTATGAGTGATACAATATGTTAAGCAAATTGTGTTGACTGTTTTACTAATTGCTGTTTCAATTTGTTGTAAACGCTTTGTACCAGGTTTTGTGCAAGTTCTTGTTTAATTTTACTGTACACATTATTGTAGACGTTTGTTGTACTAATTGTTGTGTAAGTTTGTTGTAAAAAAATTGTGTACCTTTTTATCTATGAAACCGACGTGCCAATTGTTGCACAATATGTACACAACTAATGAAAAAAAAATGCAAAAAAATATTATAACACTAACAGCAAAGTCTGACTCTTCTTCTTCTTCTTCTTCTTCGTTCTTAATTATTAGTGTTGAAGGGGATCGAGATTTATCTGCCAGTGGGGTTGAACTCGAGACTGTTCGAATTTATCAACCATGAGCTTTTTTTTTTTGCCGACTCGACCACGCCTCCAACACAATTAAGCGTTACGTGTCAACTGGTTATGCGCCATTGAGGCCATTGACTCCGATTTCAGCCTGCTTTTCTTTTTGGATTTGCTTCCATAGCCTTTGTCCAACCAAGAACACACTACAAGGCAGCAGTTGTTTAATTTTGGAGTTGTCTCTCCTAGAAGAGTGGCTGTCCCCAGCTAACGAGCCTCATCTGCCCGAGGGTTCGAACTCGAGACTTTTCGGTTTAGCAAAAAGTCTGACTGAAAATGCATACCGAAATCCATACATTTTACATACATAAATCCATACGTTTTACATACATAAATCCATACATTTTACATACATAAATCCATTTTACTCTGTAAAATAAGGAGAGAAACCTCAAAGATAAGGTCTTTATTTTCCATAGTTGTGTCGGACCACCCCCCCCCCTCTCACTCTCTCTCACTCACAGGGGTCATCCATAGATGACGTCACACTATTTTTGACGATTTTTACCTCTCCCCTCCGTCACACATCGTCACCAAAAGTCAGACCCCCCCCCTAAAATGACGTCACACTTCAGCATACAACACCCCTCAAACTTGCTGTTAAATGTTTCTTACGATATTTTTCCAAAAGTTTAATCAATTCCTATTACAATTTATTAAAACAGTTTTCTTAAACGCGCAGCAACGGCTAAAATTAGGTTTATACCATTGCTTTTTTATAATCCAAAATTGTGACGTCACACCATTTGAGCCATCCCCCCCTCCCCCTCATCACACACCGTCACAAAATTAAAGAACCCCTCCTCTAGTGTGACGTCATTTATTGACGACCCCCCCCCCCCCCCACACACACACACACGTGCACACCATTTGTTATGAATATTTTCTTCAGTCTTCCAGTATGAGTATGCACATATTTTCAGTGTTTATGTATTTCTTCTTCCTCTTGCTATCCTGTTATGCTGTTCTAATGTTGTTTCATACGAAGTAAAAAAATTACATATGAAAAAGTATTAACTAATCTTAATTGGCCATTACATGTTTCACACATTTTGTTTTCTTAGTACTTGGGAACTCCTTCATTAAGAGAAGTGTTTAATGTAAGGTGTGAAGCGTGTTTATGCTGGGAGCGGAGGCAGGGGCGTCGCTGAGTAGGGTGTCACCCGTTGCGGTACTTCGGGGTGTCACCCCCCCACCCCCAAGTCACAAAGTATATTATATATATATATATATATATATATATATATATATATATATATATATATATATATATATATATATGTGTGTGTGTGTGTGTGTGTGTGTGTGTGTGTGTGTGAATGTGTGTGAATGTGTGTGTGTGTGTCGGCCTGTATAAGCCTATAATTTAAATATATGCCACATACGCGTACATGTATGTGCATAAGTTTTAATCACTGCAGACTTATTAGTAACGATGTTTATATGAAGTCTGTTAATTATACATCTGGATGTTGCATTGTTTTCTTTATAGTTAGCGCTTTTACGTCATTGCGTCACCCCTATCCCCTTGTAATAATAGTCGATTCGTATTTTAAAGCATTTTTCTTCTGTATATTTTGCAAATTTTTTTTTGCCTTGTTGTCACCCCCTTAATGGTGTCACCCGGTGCGGTCCGCACCCCCTCTCCGCCCTCGCTACACCTCTGAGTGGAGGTACTACAGGCGATGTACGACAACAAAGGCTGATGGTGCCTTTAGGGGCACACGCGTACAACACGGAATCAACACAGCAGCGTTAGATATGTTGTATTTTAGTAGGAACATCTTCGTGTTGAGCGAGCAGGTCTTCGCTGGTGTTTGATATTATACTCAGCTGCCTTAGCTTCCCCATCGTGGGTCAGGTACCCTTCAGAGCTGGGTGGACTCAGGGACGTCATACAGACCCCAGACCGGGATTCGAACTTGAGACTTTCACATCGATACATGGTTCTATGTGGCAGATCTGGCATTACATTTGGTTTCATAAGACAAATAATATTTTACAGGCAAATCTAGTTTCATAAGATAAATCTGGACTATATGGAAAATTTGGTTTTGTAAGACCAATATGAATTACATGGAAAATTTGGTTTTGTAAGACCACTATGAATTACATGGAAAATTTGGTTTTGTAAGACCAATATAAATTACATGGAAAATTTGGTTTTACATTGCAAATTCGGTTCTACTTTACAAATTTGGTTTTACATTGAAAATTTGGTTTTACATTACAAATTTTGATTTACTTTGCAAATCTGATTTTTACATTTGAAATCTGATTTTACATGATTTTTTTGTACATAGCAAATATGGTTTTACATGTCAAATTCGATTGAAGAAATTTTATACATATTATGAAAGCTTTTTTTTTTAATCTAGAGCTCCAAAAATAAGAATGTGAATGTTTGCCCCGTATATATGGGAGGGATAAAGTAAACCACCCCGTTTTAACCCTCGTAATTTGCTTTATTTAATGTGAATTATGTGCCGACCATTCATCTAATTAACTGGGTCCAAGCCACGCGGACGCCTGCCAAAATTTAATTTAAAAAAATTTAATTTTAATATTGCATTTGCTGTGATAGTATTTTTAGCACCATCTAGCAGATGTAAAATTGGAACCGTTTTAAATTAAATGTGTTATTTTGAAGAATCGGAAGTGTCAAGAGTTAGTCTTTGGTTGAAAATGGCCGGCACGTGTTTTGTTAAATCAACTGGAAGTGATGAAACTGCACTTTTTGAAAGCCCTGGGTTGTGTAGTTGATGTCCAGGGTCAGTACTGATGTAGTTGTATGTCTAATTTAGCTGCAGCTATATTTTGTTGAACTCGACTAGCTGCAGCTATATTTTGTTGGCTACAGGACATTACCCCCCTGGATATTTCCCCCCCCCCCCCCGGACATTTCCCCCCCCCCCCCCGTATTTACCCCCCGGAGCAATTACCCCCCTGTCAATTACCCCCATGTCAATTACCCCCCGGGGAATTACACCCCCCCCCCCCCTCAAGTTAAAATCCTAACTCTAACTAGAATTTTATCCCTATATACTACTTTAATCCAAACCTTAAGAAAAAGACCAAAACCTAAGCATCCACCTTAGCCTAAAACTTCACACAAAACCAAAACCAAAGCTAGACACAACCCTAACCCTAACCTTAACCTTAACCTTAACCCTAACCCTAGCCCTAACCCTAACTCTAACCCTAACCCTAACTCTAACCCTGTCCGGGGGGCGGGGGGGGGGGGGTAATGTCCTACTGGGCGGGGGGTAATTGACAGGGGGGTAATTACTCTGGGGGGGGGGGGTAATGTCGGGGGGGGGAATATCCGGGGGGTAATTGACAGGGGGGAAATGCCCTGTTCCCATTTTGTTGAACTAGATTGTCTGGTTTGGCTGCAGCAATATCTTGTTGACCTCGATTGTCTGGTTTAGCTGCAGCTATATTTTGTTGAACTCGACTAGCTGCAGCTATATTTTGTTGAACTAGATTGTCTAATTTAGCTGCAGCTATTTTTTGTTGAACTCGACTAGCTGCAGCTATATTTTGTTGACCTCGATTGTCTAATTTAGCTGCAGCAATATTTTGTTGAACTCGACTAGCTACAGCTATATTTTGTTGAACTAGATTGTCTGGTTTAACTTCAGCAATATCTTGTTGACCTCGATTGTCTAATTTAGCTGCAGCAATATTTTGTTCAACTCGACTAGCTGTAGCTACATTTTGTTGAACTCGACTAGCTGCATCGATATCTTGTTGAAATCAGCTTTAATGAATCAAACACATAACATTATCTTCTATGTGGGTTTCTTTCAATTATTTTCTTTCGGGTAGGTGTATGAAACTTCCGGCCTGAGGGGAAAGGGGGGGGGGGTTCTAGAATTGTTTTAAGTATATATTTGCTATTCTTTTTCGTCAGGGTGTTTGGGGCTTTGGACTTGCTCCGGGAGAAGGGGGGGGGGCAGTGCAAGAAACTCCCACACCCCAAAAATGTATCGGAAACTCACGCTTAATGCACTTTTGCTCTCCCCTCCACCTCGCCCCACACACAACCCACACACCCTTCTTCCAAACACTCACAATTTTTCCATTCCGTTACTCCAATGTATTTTTTTTTCAATGTCGGCTTTTTTTTTTTTTTTTTTGTTGATCCCGTCTGCAAAACACCACTCGTCCACATCTAACCCTGTATTATTATTTTGAGTGATGAACCTTTAAAGCGGATAGCACGGGTTTTCGTGCAAAAAAATAAACGCCTTTAATACACCTCGATGTAACTGACATTGTTTTTATATTGTTATGTCTTGATCACAAAACGAACGTTAAAAACCTGATTTAGCATGTCTTCCGCTAACGAAAAAAAGGAAGATTGATGAAAAAAATAAAATAAAGAAAGACATGGAAAAAAAAGAAAGACTGATGAAAAAAAATGCGGTTTGTTCTTGGTGAACTTCTCAAAAAAGGAAGCTATTTTTTTTGTTCAAAGAAGATTTTTGTTTAAAACTTTAAACAATTCGTTGATACCTCGACGTGTTATAAGTTGTTTTTTTTCTACAAGAGTTTCAACACGTGTTTAGTTTTCAAAGACCCGCAGAATGCCTGCAACTTTGATTTGGTGTCAAAGTTAGACAGACAGGGATTTATACGTTGTATAAACAAGTTCGTGGCACCCGTGTCTAGGGTTTCTTTCAGACATTTATCTCCGGTGGGGGGGGGGGATGTTTGAAAGGAGGGGCGCACATAATTTCTGGGGGTAGGGGGGGGGGGGGGAATTGGACACTAAAAGTATACATTTTCTATGTAAATTGTAAACATTTCCATTTTGTCCAGGGGTGGGGATGGGCAGTGTTTCTTTCAGACATTTTTCTCCGTGGGGGCACTTGAAGTTTTCGGGGGAGAGGAGGGCGGTAGAATTAATTCGTGGGGTCGGAAACTGTTAAATATATATATATATATTTCCTATATACATTCCATTTCGTTCGGGGGGTAGACTTTCTTCAGAGGGGCTTTGCCCGCCACCCCCCCCCCCCCCCCCCCCGAAGAGATGCATGGAAGAAACTATGGGGATGGGTAAACGTATTCCGAGGTAAGGGATGCACTTCTTCATCCCGTCACAACTCCCCTATCACTAGGCACAAAACAAAAAAATTAAAAACAGGCAAAACAACATATGTATCATCCGCCCACCGTTGTTCTAGCGCATGAGCGCCATTTTAATTTAGTCGTTGACTTGAATACACCTTCTTTCCTTATAAACACCATTTTAATGTATCATTGAATACACCATCTCTCCTTATAAACACCATTTTAATTTTAAATACACCATCTCTCCCTATAACACCATTTTAATGTATCGTTGACTACACCATCTCTCATTATAAACACCATTTTAATGTATCGTTGACTACACCATCTCTACTTGTAAACATCACTTTAATGTATCATTGACACCATCTCTGCTAACGTAAAAAGTAATGCAATATAACCCTCACAGCGGTACTTCGCTATAATATACCCCGTGTTTTACCCCCACCCACAACATTTTTTAAAAAAACGATGATTCTGTGACACCATCTCACCCCCCCCCCCCCCACCCCCTCACGCACTCGTACAATCCCCCCCCCCCCCTCACTCGTACAAATCATCCCACTCTTGCACAACAAAACGGTACCCCCGCCTGGGAGTTACATCTCTGCAATATCAACAAATTTGAAGGTAACAATCCACCTCCCCACCCCCACTCCCACTCCCCACCCCCACCCCCACCACCACCACACCGTCTCCTATTACCCGTCGCGCTAGAGTAGAGCAGCCCTCGTTCCATTCAGACGGTAAACCGGCTAATCGCGTGACGTCAAGTCGTCTGCTGCCTCAGTTCTGCTGTCCGCGCAGACGATCTAGGGAAAAAAAATTATTATTCACCCGGATTATTTCCCGGACATAAACGCCGAGAATTGTTCTGTTATTGATAATCGATTGGTGTTCACTCGTCATTGATACTGTTCTCGTCTGTTTAGTGTGACATGTGATAGGTTATAGGTCAGGGTATGAGTACTATTTACTCAGTTGTTTGTTTTTCCATACATTTCAAAAGAGGATTTGTTGTTTTCCTCAAAGATTTATGCAAAGATTTATGGATTTTATAAATAATAATAAATAAATTTTAATATTTTTTTAGCATAGTCTGCAACTTTTTAAAGTTTTTGTTCCATGAAGAAAAAATTAAATAATTCGTATATATATTTTTTTTAAATTTGTAGAAACTACATCAAACTGTTTTCTTATATGTTTAATATTTGAGTACTTTAATTAACCACAGCCGAAACAGACGTTTAAACCATGTGTTCATCAAACAGAGACCGAAACAGAATTTATTAGAGCCCGTGGTCTTTGAAAAATGTAACTGTTCATAATAAATAATTTTGATTGCCAGAAAAAAGAAAAGAAATTCTTGGATTACATACATTATAATATAAACTACTGACTAGAAACTGAAGTTGTTATAATGTTTACATTTTATTCGATATAACAAAGGAAGTTTAGTATTCACCGCAATGTTTCCTACAACATTCAACAAGTAAGTAGATTCATTTGTTATTTCCCTTGTTCATTGTGCGCCATCGTGTTTTATCTAACTTTTGCAGCCTCTGCAACTCTCAGTGTGAAAACGTAGATTTGTATTTTTTTTTTGCTGATGTGGAGGGACTAGAACAGGACCGTCATAGTGTGTGTGGTGGGGGGGAGAAAGGGGGTGTTCTATGTGAAATACAGAAAGGGAGGTTGAATCGAGAGGTGACCCCTATTAGCCACACCTCTGATGGCCGTTTTACTTGATCCCCTTGACCTAACGGACATTTGTTAATATGTAACGTTCATCACCATCTTCAGTTTCTTCCAGGCATATCCAGGTCCCCCCTCCCCCCCCCCCCCCCCCCCGAAGAAAGTCTATCGGCCCTTCCCTCTTCCCTTCCCCGTCTCTCCCCCCCCCCCCTATACTTTTATCCGTGTCCGTTTGAAGAAATCGAACTAGAAGGTGGACACTAACTTAAGTAGTGAAAGATGAACTGGCTTTCATGTAATTCTTCAGTCCTCTAAGCTCTTTAGTTCGTACAAAATGATGATCCTATTCAGTCCTCTAATCCTTTTAGTTCGTGGCCATTGGTGAAATTAAGTAGAGCCCAAAGATAGCCATTTTCTCGAGATGTCCAATGGAGTCGTACTTTGGCAGTAGTGGCTTATAATTATTCGGATAACAAACGGATAAACGTGTATTAGAAAAAACATTTTTCTGAAACATATTTCTAATTGTTATCATCAGAAACCCAGTGTTCTTCTAAATTGATCCGTGTCTTCTTCTTCTTCGTTCATAATTGTAAAAATGTAAAATAGTTCCTCTACACTCTAACACAATTAAGTTTTACTTGTTAACCTATTATACGCCATATAAGCTGTTTTCAAACTGCTGGCTTCTTGGATTTGCTTCCATAGCCTTTGTCCAACCAAGAACAAACTACAAGGCATCAGTTGTTTGATTTTGGAGTTTTCTATCTTAGATGGGTTGTGTCAAATAACTACTAATATGAAAAATAGAACTAGCGAAAATAGCAAAATAATATATGCTCTGCATACTTGGCCGATAAACAACCCGGGATCTATCCACAGCTAGGCTGCCGTCTTTACCTTGTATTTAATCCGCCACTGATTAGCTGGACTGCTAACCCGTAAGTCTCGAATTCGAATCTGGGTTTAAGTCAGTAGATCGTCCCTGAGTCCACCCAGCTCTGATGGGTACCTAACTCCTGTTAGGGAAAGTAAAGGCGGCTGGGCATAGTGCTGACCACACTATTCCTTCACATGCCGAGGCCACAGAAACAAGTGAACTCTACTTCACGAGCCCCATAAACCGTCTGGTTTGAAAAGGAAACTTACTTTTACTAATCCGCCACTGATTAGGTCTTTGATCTCCTACCCCCCCCCCCCCCCAACAGACGTTGATCTCTTTGGTTACCTGAATCTCTTTGGTTACCTGTATACCTGTATACGTGTACCTGTCAACGAAAACAGCCACCCTGGCGGTGGTCGTCTGTTTGTCAAAGGTTTGTTGTCCCTGACGGTAAGTCGTCTGTCAACTGTCTGTCACACGTTGGCTGTCAGTTGCTGTGTCAGTTGACTCCCCACATCCCATGTTTGTCGTCAACCCGTCGCGTGCGTGTCAACTGTTTACGTTCAATGCAATCAAAATTACAATGCGTGTGGGGGAGGGTAGGGGTAGGGGGAGGGAGATCCTCAGAGCCTACTACACCTAAGTTTCCGACTGCGAGTTGTGAACTTTGGTGAACTTTGACCTTTGTACATCGCAAATATTTGAGGATTTAATCTAACCGACTAAAGCAAATCATTAGGCGAACATCAATACAGACGTTACATAAAAATATATGTGTGGTGTTTTTAAGTGTATTGTAGTTTGTTGTTTTTTTTTAGTTTGTGTTCAATGACTGAGTTTTTGTACCTGGTATTTATTTTTATACCCTCCAATATCTTATAAGATTAAGTAATGGTTTTTGTCAGTTAAGGATTTTGCATTTAGTGGCGTTACTAGGTCGTGTGACACCATGTGCGGCGGTGTGTCCCCCCCCCCCTCGCCAACGATGCACTAAACCTATAAATTTAGTGTCACCATTCGCCCCCCCGCCCCCCCCCCACACACACACACCTACACCTTAATACATACTGTGTCTAATAATGTATTTAATTTAACAAGTTATTAAATTATCCCGAGAAAAAGCTGCGGCGCGCCTTGAAATGTGTCACAACACCTTTTTGGTGGATTATTTAGAGACACCACAACACCTTTTTGTTGGATTAATTTTAACCTAGACACAATAGGCCTACCTTTTTGTTTGAATAGTTTAAACACAAATACAACACCTTTTTGTTGGATTAATTTAAACCCAGACACAACACCTTTTTGTTGGATTAATTTAAAGCCACACACAACACCTTTTTGTTGGATTAATTTAAAGCCACACACAACACCTTTTTGTTGGATTAATTTAAAGCCAGACACAACACCTTTTTGTTGGATTAATTTAAAGCCAGACACAACACCTTTTTGTTGGATTAATTTAAACCCAAACACGATACCTTTTTGTTGGATTAATTTAAACTCAAACACGACACCTTTTTGTTGGATTAATTTAAACCCAAACAGAACACCTTTTTGTTGGATTAATTTAAACCCAAACACAACACCTTTTTGTTGGATTAATTTAAACCCAGACACAACACCCTTTGGTCTCTACAGCTCACCACACTCGCCACCCTATCATCGGAAGATCAAAGCCCTACCGCCCCATTCAGCCAATCTAAAACATAAACACGGCATCATGTGATCATCTTTTCAACCAATCAGTGCAGGGATCATTATTTTGCTCGGGCAGTGACTCGAATTTTTTAAAATAAATCTTCTGCGCAGGGGTAGATAACCCTGAAACACCAAATTGAAAGATTTATCTAGACAACCCGCTGTGCAGCCTCAAAGATTTCTACCTGCGATACTCCCCCCCCCCCCCCCCCCCCCAATTCATTCATTTCCTCTCTCCTCCAACTTAGATATACTTACAGAAAAGTTGAGTTATACCATATATTTGTGTTAAACGTTATCATATATATCTATATATGTATGCATATATATATATATATATATATATATATATATATATATATATATATACTAGGCATACTGCCTAGCATATATATATATATATATATATATATATATATACTAGGCATACTGCCTAGCTTCGCTTAGGTTTTTAAAAAACATTTGAGAATTTGAATACTTAATTATTTAGCGATGGATTGGGTGTGGAGTGCTTTAATAAGTTGAATTTAAACAGTAATGCTAACTTTAGAAAAAACATGTTTTTGTTCGTTATTTATATTCAGCTCAAGTAGAATTTTTTGAAAGTACGCAATGTATAACTAAAATGGAATTAGAACTACACAGGTTTCATGAACAGTATATCTCACAGTTTATATTACATTGCCTTTTGAAATTAATTAATTAATTTAATTAGGATACTTAACTAAATTAACAACTTAATTTTGTACTAAAACAAATGCTATACTTCGTCATTTTCTGTTTCTGTTTAAAATAGTATACAATTATTTGAAAAATAATAATTTTAAAAACATTACCTCCCTTGAAAACTGAACGTATGACGTATGTCATTGTTTACTTATATTGTTTGCTTATATAAGAAATTACGTTATATGAACATATTTAACGACTATAATGGCTGTTTCCGACGGGAATAAAGTTTTTTTTTGTTACCCTCCAGGGTCGGTCTACGACGTCACATAATATTAAGGGGATCGTTCGTCAATTTATTTATATATATATATATATCTCATATAATGAGAATTTCACTCAAGACCATCTTTTAGCCCTCCTCGAGGGCTTTGAGTCTGACCAACAGTTTTTCCATACGGCCTAGTCATCTATAGTAGTGTATGCAAAAACTTAGCATGATGTACAGACATTAAGTAACCTAAAAATTGTGTTAAAATTTCCCTGTTTTTCCCATAAAATACAAAGATTATATAGGGAAATACAACTGGTCAGTTTTGACCGCTTTACGAAGTTTTCCCAGATATGCCGAGTTTTTTGTGACACCCCAAGGTGTTCTCCTACCACCTCACAAAATTTCAAGGGGGGTCGTCGGAGGATTTTTTTTTTCGTAATAGAGCTCATATAAAGAGAATTTCACTCTCGGTCACTTTTTAGCCCTCGTCGAGGGCTTTGAGTGAAACCGACAGTTTTCCCTAAAGGTCAAGCCATTGACCTAGGAGCATGCAAAAAATTAGCCAGATATACTGAGCTTAAGTACCCTAAAGTCTGCGTTGAAATGACCCTCTGTTTTTCCCATAAAATACAAAGATTATATAGGGAAATACAACTGGTCAGTTTTGACCGCTTTACGAAGTTTTCCCAGATATGCCGAGTTTTTTGTGACACCCCAAGGTGTTCTCCTACCACCTCAGAAAATTTCAAGGGGGGTCGTCGGAGGAATTTTTTTTTCGTAATAGAGCTCATATAAAGAGAATTTCACTCGCGGTCACTTTTTAGCCCTCGTCGAGGGCTTTGAGTGAAACCGACAGTTTTCCCTAAAGGACAATCCATTGACCTAGGAGCATGCAAAAAATTAGCCAGATATACTGAGCTTAAGTACCCTAAAGTCTGCGTTGAAATGACCCTCTGTTTTTCCCATAAAATACAAAGATTATATAGGGAAATACAACTGGTCAGTTTTGACCGCTTTACGAAGTTTTCCCAGATATGCCGAGTTTTTTGTGACACCCCTAGGTGTTCTTCTACCACCTCACAAAATATCAAGGGGGGTCGTCGGAGGAATTTTTTTTTCGTAATAGAGCTCATATAAAGAGAATTTCACTCGCGGTCACATTTTAGCCCTCGTCGAGGGCTTTGAGTGAAACCGACAGTTTTCCCTAAAGGTCAACCCATTGACCTAGGAGCATGCAAAAAATTAGCCAGATATACTGAGCTTAAGTACC